GGAAAAGTCCCTTGCTTTGTTAGAGACATATTATTTCACAGCTGGGGAGCCTTTATCTACTAATGTTGTACATCAATCAAAAATCACAGATTTTGGGCTGGCTGACTGGCGCGTTGGTTAGGAGTTGGCTTGGGAAGCCAGCTCTGAGCAGGAGGGCCCTGGTTCGGATCCCACATGGGCCAGTGATGCTGCGCCCTCTACAGCTAAGATGGTGAACAACAGCTTGACCTGGAGCTGGGTTGCCATGAGTCGCCGGCGACAGCGTAGGCTGCAGTGGGGCTGGCCGGCAGCTGGAGTGCGCTTTTGTGAGCTGCCGTGAGCGGCCATCCAATGGCCGGGTAGCAAATGCCTCACCTGGGAAGAGCGCAATGGTAATACCAACATGGGCCAGTGAAGCAACGTCCTCCACAACTAGACTGAAGAAAAAAAGGACAGCAACTTGTCTGTTCCCCTTACCTGATTCCCCAACACTGTTCCCTCCTCCAATTCCCCAATTAAAAAAAAAATCATTGATTTTGCCTCAGCATTTATTCCTAAGAAACTAAAGACAATTATATGTAAATAGGTCAGCAGCAGTTGTCCTTAATGACTCAGAATTCTTAAAATATGTAAACATTTTCTATCCTAATTTACCTTTTCAAATATTCAACCAATATCCTTATCATCACTTTTTATATATAGCAGCATGCAGTAAAGGATGACTGGGCTCCCAGATCTCACTGGAATAACTATTAATTATTTTGCACATGACATTCTCTTAAAGGAGGCGGGTCCAAGATAATAGCACATGACACTGAACTCACCCTCTCACAAGAACACATCAGATATACACCTACATTTAATGCAAATATTCCTGAGAGACAACTGAGGGGCAATTATAGAGCTTCTGTACAACAAAGCGGTGAGAGAGACCACATAGAGAAGGTTGAGAGCTCTCTGGGAGCTGAGGGAAAACTCCAGGACATGAGGATCCAGGAACCACCAATGATTATATTACCCTACACTTGGAGAGCATGGGGGCACTATCCAGGTTCTTTGACAGACATGCAGGACCCCTGTATCGCAGCCACAGCTTCCCCATTTAGAGCTATATCCAGCAAGAACGGGAGGGTGTCATAGGGCACACATGGAGGCCACTCCACTTGGAGATTGATCAAGCAGGTATTGATCACTGCAGCACATCCATTGGGTGGACAAATAAATGGTGTTCCCCAACCCAGAAAAACTGCAGAGCTAGTAAAATGCTGCAGTACTCACACTACAAAAAAAGAAAAGAATTACAGGCCAATCTCCCTGATGAACACAGATGCAACAATTCTCAATAAAATACTAACAAACTGAAATCAACAATACATTATAAAAATTGTACACCATCATCAAGTGGTATTTATTCAAAGGATGCATAGATAGCTTAATATCCACAAAAAAATTAATGTGACACATGACAGACATCAATAAAACCAAGGGTAAAAATCATGTGTTCATCTCAATAGATGCAGAAAAAGCATCTGACAATATTCGACATTCACTTATGATAAAAAAAAAAAACTTTCAACAAAGTAGATATAGAAGGAACTTACCTCAAAATGATAATGGCTATATATGACAAGCAAACAGCTAATATCATACTCAGCAGTCAAAAGCCGAAAGCTTTCCCTCTAAGATCAGAAACTGTGCAAGGATGCCCTCTTTCACTATTATTATTCAATATAGTATTAGAAGTTGCAGTCACAGCAATCAGACAAGAAATGAAAGGCATCCAATTTGGAAAAGAAGAAGTAATACTATCACTATTTGCAGATGACATGATACTATACATAGAAAACCCTAAAGAATCAACCAACAAATGAAAATAATTAATAAATGAATTCGGTAAAGTAACAAGATACAAAATTAATATACAGAAATCCATCTCATTTCTCTACACTAATAATGAACAATCAAAAAGAGAAATTAAGAAAACAATTCCAATTACAACTGCATTAAAAAGAATAAAATATCTAGGTATAAATTTAACCAAGTAGGTGAAAGACTGTACTCTGAAAACTCAAATACATTGAAGAGGACGCAAGTAAATGTAAGAATATACAGTGCTAATGGATTGGAATGATTAATATCATTAAAATGACTATACTACACAAAGCAATCCACAAATTCAGTACAGTCCCTATCAAAATATCAATGGCCTTCTCAGTACTAAAACAAACAATTCTAAAATGTATATGTAACCACAAATGACCATAAATAACCAAAGCAATCTTTAGAAAGAACAAAGTTTGAGCTATCTTGTTACCTGATATCAAACTATTCCACAAGCCTATAGTAATCAAAACAGCTTGGTACTGGCCTCAATCCTGCCATGTATGAGATCACGGATGACCTAAGGAGTGTCATGTTAAGTGAAATAAGTCGGACAGAGAATGATAAATACTGCATGACTTCCCTTACATGTGGATTTTTTTAGAAAAACAAATGAACAAACAAAACAAAACAGAAACAGACTTACAGAAACAAAGGAAAATTGAAGTTTGCCAGAGGAAATGGGGGGTGGAGGGGTGAAATAGGTGAGGGGGAATATAGTCAGTAGCAGTGTGATAATTTTGCATGGTAACAGACTTATTAGCTTAGTGTGGTGCGCACATTGTAAGATATATGTTGAATCACTATGTTGTATATCCGAAACTAATACAATTTTGTATACCAACTATATTTTAATTTTTAAAAAGTTATTACAAAAAAAAGTGAGAATAGCAGAAACAGATGCTTAATATGGACCTTTATTCCAGAGTATCAATCAGTCTGAGTAGGCAAAATGGATTTGAAAACCATATACTAGCAAGCCCAAACGACGTCTTAAAACAAAGCCTATCAGTATGTCCCATTCATTAATTCCTATAAACATCCATTTAACATTTATTGAATACTTCCTATGTGCCCAATACTACATAACTCTAGGTGTTGGGATATTGCCACGAATAAACAAATATTTCTGCCTTCTTTGGACGTGCACATTAATGGCTGTTAATCAGGAATTAACATGAGTCCTATTTGCACAGAAGTTATATACAATTATCTATCATCTATATGGATTCTTTAAGTACTGAAGAGGGCTATTAGTTGTACCTGAACTAATATTATTGTGAGCCACCCTCACCAAAACAGTAATTGATTTCCCGACACAATGAAAGCCTGAACCATTAGGTTTAACAACAACAAAAAGAAAACCACAAATTTAACGAATGCCAGCTAGTACTTGTTCTATTTTCATGGGCACTGAGGATAAAAATTTAGACATGAATTCTGGGAGGCTGTCTAATTTGCTCAGAGTCGGAAATTTATATTTTGTGAAATTAATTTACTGTGAGAGGCTAAAACTCTCAAATAAGATATTCTGAATCACTAAAAATTAAAGTTCCCTCGTAAATATAGTTATCCTCAACTTCTGCATTTTTTTCTGTATATATGTCTGTATATGGATACCTCAGATTAAAATAAGACATTCATGTCAAATAATAGACACACATATACACATATATTGTATATATATATAAACATGTGTATACATGCACATATAATGTATGCACACAAAAATAGTTATATATACACTGACGTCATACATCATTATGACCTGTCAAGGAAATTATTTTACTTGTTAGGTTTCCTCATTTCTTCCATATGGCTCACATGGTTGGGAGAGGGTTGGTATCAAAGATTCAAGAGAAATGAAAACTCTCTATCCCTCTAAATGATTACATTTCAAATATGCATTTCACTGGGTTAGTAATACACTAAATACATGATTTATTTTTTCCAGTTTTCCATCGTGTAGCGACAGCCACATAATTAAGCCACTCAGACCATCTTCACTGATGACTCCATCTAACTGAGAGCCTCTGCTCACTGTGCTCTCTGGGTACCAACTTTACACCTGATCAACAGAATCACCATGAGAAATGTTTTCTCTTACAAAGGTCTCAGTCTCACAGGGGAGATCATGTATCCATATGTTTAAAAAGCACCAGATTCAAGAGTGGATAGGCAGGTTGAATACACTGTTTTCAGGGAGTGGTCAGAGAAGACAGTCTGCATCGTGTCCACCCATATGTCTCCCAGAGCCAAGAACTCTTTGACTTGGTACTAAATAAGGCCCCCAAAGAGCAGGGAAGCTTAAATACCAGGCAGAGTACAGGCAAGATCAGAAGCAAAATGAAAAAAAAACAAAAAAAGCCCAAAGATATTAGAGACAAAAATAAGACCATCGTGAGACTTTCTCATAGATATAATCAAAAAACACTGAAAAGAGCATTTTTCTAACAATGTGAATTGATGCCATTAAACGTTATTTAATGCCATGTCCCAGCTAAAACCATTTCCTGTATCACTGCACAGGTCACACTTTCCAAAGGCATGGACAACGCCATGCTTTGGTCATTTCCCTCTGACACCTTACTCTTTTCCTACCACCTTCTTCAGAAAAAGTTTTGCTAGAAGAAACCCTGAATGTCCTGCCACTTAGTAAAATAAACTGTGGCAGTTTAGAGAAATAGAGCCAAAATGAATTAAATCCCAGCTACACCACAACAGTAGCTATGTGACCTTGAGCGAGTCATTTAACCTCTCCATGCCTAAATTTGCTATAGGTGAAATAGGAGTAATTATAGTACCTACCTATAGTTTTCACATGAAGATTAAATGACAGTGCACAAAACAATCTCAGCTCAAACAAACCTCCATATAAGTATTCACTATGATTCTAGTAAAAAACAGGGAATGTGAACGACCTCACATGCAGCATGCTTTGAATCAGTCTTTAAAAAAAACTATGAACCGCACATTTGTCCTATGTGTTCCTAGAAAGTACTTTACCAAACCTATACTTACATAAATTCAGTGCAACCACATCAAATTTCCTTATGAAAGCAACGAGCACAGATGTGTGCAGTGATAGCACTGTGTATGTAGCATATATACTCACACGTAAAGTTCTTTCTATTACTCACATTCTCATATAGCGCCTGAAGAGTTTCCAGGTCAACCACAGAATTGTCCAAGTTCACAACAGCTGTAAAAGAAAGAAAGAAAAAGACAGAATGAATGGCCATGAGCCAGCTGTGAAAACACCTCTGGCCATCTTGAGCAGTCATGACCATCTCTGGCACCGAGAAGGCACACTCATTGGTCCCATTACAAAAAACAACCCCAAGGGGTATCAGTGGGGTCAAGGGTAAAGTATTCAAGTTTTCACTTGCTTCACAAATACAAAGTCTCATGAACACGGCCCAGTCAAAGACAAACTGTGAGTGTCTTTCAAGGACCAATTGGAAAAATTTGTTTAACATCAGAAAACGAGGCAAATCACTCCTGTTACTGCCACGTTCTAGTTTTACATTGATAAATGTTCATATCTGCCAATGTACCTAAAGACCTATGACAAAGGTTAATTCTATTCACTGAACTAGTAGAATTCATATAGAAATAACAGGTGCATTTCCTGTAATAATTCTTTAAGTTGTTGTAATAAAAGAATAACTCTTTGATTATGGTATTGAGATTAGCACAGACACAAACTACCCATGCTTACACAAGGAAGAAGTGGGACGGATCATCGAAAACTGGGAGTATGTTCTTAAATGCATTTTTTTTTGGCCTGGGAAGTATATTGTATTTTGGAGACAGTGTGTTTTATAAATCAGTTTGGACATAGGTTAATCAAAAGCATTCTGTATTACCTACATACATATATTAGCTAGAATAAGGTGAATTTGTCCTAACCAGATTTGTGCCAAGTAGCCAGGGAAACTCTTGTGAAATGAAAGATTTCTGGAAGAAAAATCACAAAGTGGATAATCACAGATTGGACAGATTGGTTTTGATAACTGAGGCATTTTACAATGTCTTTTCTCTGAAAGCTTAAAGTACACGAGACATTTTCTAGTTGACTCTGGCAAAATCCCAAGAAAGAATTACGAAAGACAAGTGGGAAATTGAAGCATACGATGGATGAGAATTCTAACCAAGATAATTTAGCATTTCTATTTGGAGCTGGGAACAGAGCCCAGATCCAGCAACAAATATTATGGCAAGTAGAAAATGATACTCCCCTCCTAATAATATTCCACTATCTCCATTTCTTAAAAATTCGGTCTCAAATATCAATCTAAAAATTTGATTAAGATTCTCATACAAATCTCTTCACTCCTTAGACCACATAAGGAAAACATATCACAAACTGTTTCATGTTTCAAAGTAGTAAAAACACAGCCCAACTAACTTTGACCATACTTCAAAAATTAAATAAAAGGGATTAACAAATGATTTTCACTGGAGGTAATATGGCTATAAATAATGTAATAAAATGCGTAAAACTCAAATAAAGCTAGCAAATGCATGTATGAAATTACTCCCTTTGGATCTGTGCAGGCTACCTCTTAAAGAAAATCTTACAGTGAATCCAAAGGTCTCTGACTTCGGAATTCATTAGCTAATAATAATCCAGTATTTCTATATCCCTCTGGTGATACAGCAATAGGCTGATGGGAAAACCACGAAAGAAATGCTAGTAGTCAACTTAGTGTATGATTTCATTCTCGGAACAAGGAAAAGAAACACACACAATAAAATCATTCATATTCAAGTCGAAACTCATAAAAGATACAATTGTCTTCTGACGTTATCCATCATTTTAAAACATAATATTATTCCTACGAATTTTCCCCACATGAATCCTTTCTTGTGAATATACTGAGTTTCCTCATCTTTTAATCTCATGCAGTATCAGGTACCGCCGCATAACTTAATAAATGTCACAAGGTCCTAACCACAGATACATCGTCTTAAGCAAGTCGCAAAAGTGTCTAACCCATGAAACCTCATTGTTTAATCATCCACAGAAACTCTCAATGGAAAGCAACATTGTTACTATTTCTCCATATAATTTTCCCTTAGTTGGCTTTACACTTGAAAGATGCTAACACAATTCAATGGGAAGCAGCGGTTTGACAGAACAATATAGTCAGGTTTAAGTAGCTGAAAATAAGAAGATTAGATACTGGCAGGTAGACAGGAAACAAAGGTAAAAGATGCAATTTGGGAAAGGTTAAGGGTATTGAGGTGCTCTATTTCCTTAACATAAAATGCACATTTTAACATTTCAGAAATCAGGACTTAGACTTAAATTCATACATTTTTAGTGGTGTCTTCCAGGGCTCCTTCCCTGAAAACCTGTGATTGGGCAGATGGTATGTTTTCAACTGATAAAATTCTAAAATCAAGGAACTAAGATAATGCATTCACTATGTACTCAACAAATGTCGCGTTTCTTATCATTCAGCGACTATACTACCTTACTAGACGGGTTAAAAGTTACTTAAGTAACAATAATTTGAAATCAGACCCATTGGATGTGGATGTGCTCAGTTACCCAGGTCTGAAAAGCTGCAAAAAAGTGCTTATGAGTAGACACCATGCCAATCAGGTCTCTAGTTATGGCCATGCTACAGAATTTGTGAGGGGTGTGTGTGTGTGTGTGTGTGTGTGTGTGTGTGTGTGTAAAATTTTTTTAAGGTGGAAAAAGATTCAAGAAAAAAGATACTCAGAAATGTTTTGATTCCATGTGCAACATTTCAGTCTTTTTTGAGAGAAAAAACACCTGGGTATTGAGATTATATCAAGATGATAGCCCCTTATTCTCTCAAAAGGGAATACAGTTTTAATGGGATAGATTATTGGCCACGGTATCAAACCTAACTGGTTTTCAATTTAAAATTTTACTTGCTGCTGCACGACTTCAAGTGAGTTCCTCAACTTCACAAGTTTTAGTTTCTTTATGGGAAAGAGAGGAGAAGGAAGTAATAGAAAATATTAGCCATGTTTTGGGTTTTGTGGGCACCAAAGGGAGTAGCAGCAAGCAGAAGCATCTGGCATGTGGTTGGTTAACATGATTTCCCTCTTCGAGTTTTTACAGCAGTTCAACTCTTCTGGTGCTAATAAACCTTATTATCTAACCCAAAGTTTTAAAAGTTTCTATTTTTTCTTTCTGTTTGTGTTTTAGAGCCCTCACATACCAAAGAGAAAAATTCCAACTGTATCTATGCAGGGTTGGCACTCTCAACCTCAACGATGAACTATTAGAACTAAATGTACAGCCTGACATACAGCTATCGGGGGCTGTGAATTATACTCTTTTTTTTAACTTAATATTAAAACTATTAAGTGTAAGACTGAGATTTCAGAACATACATAAATCTAAAATTTAGGATATTTGGTGATAAATCTTTATTACTTTATTCAGATTACTTTATTCTCTAATGTTCAACTATATGCTAATGTGATTATACTTTAGATTAGAGGCAAAATATTTCACACTCGTTTCCGACTCTCCTTGGCTCTAAGACTTTCAGGAACACCCATCGCTGTCTGGGATTCATCACACTTCCCACCCATCCATTTCCCTGCAGGTCTATAAAGCAGTTTTAATTACTTTCCTATTATATATGTATTACTTCCGTCTAACCAAGAAGCATCTGTTCTGTTTTATGTGGAAGGGTGTAAAGACTAAGGAGGTGCTGCGAGGAAACTCTGGCCTCTTTTGAACGTTAAACGATTATTCATTTATTTGTAAAGTATGCCAACTTACCAGGATTAGAACATATGGAGAGTTTTACCGCTCTCTTTAAACAACCTGTAAATGACCATGTGTGTTAATAATCACGCCAGGCCCAAACGAAGAGCGATTTTTATTTTTAAACCTAAAAACTTTATAAAATGCCAAGCACGTGATCAGGAAGCAGAAGAACATAGTACTCTTTCTGGCTTTTCTAGGCTTTTCTATGAACAGCCTGCATGTCCTTGGTCAAGACACTAACCTTCTCTGAGGCTTTAACAAGTGGGATAATAACTTATGACTGTAGCCTATGTTTGTCATGTGGGAAAAAAAATAAGCAATTCTATACCAAAAAAGATAATTCAAGAAGCCTTAGAATAATTTATGTAATTAATTTTAAAAGGTATACAATCTGTGAACACATTGGTTAGAAACTAGAGACAGAATGTGCTAGATTAAAATTAGGTTCAGGATTAAACAGTTGCTTTCAATAATCAAAACTTGAGACCATAAATCACTCTTTCCTTCATGAACTCCACTGGTACACACTTGCTGAGAGCCAGTGTCCTTTTATTGAAATCATGTTATCACAAAATGAAAAGTGGAACAGCCTATTTTAGAACTCAAATAGTCAATTTAACCTAAGAAATTAAAAATGTCTCAAAATAAAATATCCAAACAGAAAAAATAATCTACATTTTACTTTAAAATATTGCATTACATAAAGATCACTACATGAAGAGCAATTCAAAACAACCAGGGACTATGGACCCAACGTAGGAAACAGCTGTATGCTGGACACATGACACTGTACACACATGTACACAAGCAGGTGATAGTCGTATGTCTATATCTCATTCTCTACACACTTGTTCTTTTCTCCACAGTGACCTTATTCAACACCAGTAATGTGGACACACTTCTTATTCTCACCTTAAATTACCTGCAGACTAGAGTGCAATGTAACGTATCTGTCTGTGTGATAAGAGTCCTGTTTCTGTAATCCCAAAGAACTGCACACAGGGGAAAGGGCCATACTTTAAGAACTTGTGTTAAAAGAAAGTCACATAAAATAAAATCCCCAATTTGTGAATTATTAGCCAAATTTGTAAGTGTTGCACACATTTTCAGGAGTCAGAAAAGTAGTTTGCTTTATTGGTGTAGTTCATGATGATTTGATTACTCCTGTTGAATGCAACAGTTTCAGCTATGGAACATTTAGTGCTTGCCTAACTCTAACCTCAGTTTTTATTTTCATCTGGGGTCTCCACCATGGGACAGGACTGGAGCAGCCTCAGGGCTGCCTGTGGGGGCCCTTCCCTCCATCAGCCCTGAACACTTATCCCAGCCACTGTGATCCCTCCACTATGATCTGCTAAACTAGAGGAACAGACCCTGAAAAGTAGAAAACCTAACGGTGTTTATTCCTAAGCGTATAAGTTATCCATTTCTGCATAGCA